CGCGGCGACGAGGGCGGCGCGGAGAGCGGGGCCATGCGGGCGAGCGCGGAGGCGGCGAGGCGCGCAGCGAGCTCCCGGAGCGGCGCGGCCGCGGCGGCGCAAAGTTAGCCCGGCGCCCCGGGACGAGCGCCGCAGCCTGGGCCATGGGGGAGCACCCCAGCCCGGGCCCCGCCGTGGCCGCCTGCGCCGAGGCGGAGCGCATCGAGGAGCTGGAGCCCGAGGCCGACGAACGACCGCCCGCCGCGCCGGAAGACGTGAGTGCATCCTCCCGAGCCCCTCAAACTTTCTAGGGGTAGGGGGCGCCACGCGCGGGGACGCCGCGGCCTCCGCTCCCTCCCCCGGGGGCAACTTGGAGGCTTCAAGGTTATGTCGCCGGAGCGTCCGGGTTGTGCCGTGGGGGGGGCTGACGGGGGGGGGGGGGGGGGGGGGGGGGAAGGCTGGGTCTCCGCAGATGCCAGCGCGCGCGCCCCTCCCCCGCCCGGTTCCCACGGCTTCCCCTGCGGGACGCAGCCCCGGCCGCCGCGCCGGGAACCTGTCGGCTGCCGAGCCCCCTCCCCGCGCGCCTGGTGCAGTGCCCGGGACACGGCGTTTTCCTGCAGAGGCGGCCGCGTCACTGTGGTGACTCCCCCTCCCCTCTCTCCCCTCCCCTCGGCGACCTGCGGACTCCGCAAGCCCCGGGAAGAGACCGGCGCCGCAGATCCCCCGGCTCTGAACCGCGCAGACCGCTCCGGAGACACCCCACCCCACCCCCCTCTCCGCTCCCCGATTAGCATCCCGTCCGGCATCTGCCCTGTCGCCGCACTGATTGAAATTCAAACTGGTCCCAGTCCCTGAACCCAACCAGAGCTGGAAGAGCCGGGGCTCTAGGGTGAAATGTTCCCAGCGGGGGGCCCGGGAGTCCGAGACCACGGCGGTGCCAGGACGGTCCCCTGGGGCAGGCTAAGGGGGGCTACCCCAGAGGGCATCCCTGCCATCTGCCGCTCGCATCTCTTGTCCGCTGTCCTGGGAGGCTAGGTAGGAGCTGACACTGGGGAGCCCTGGGCCACTGAGTTGTTAAAACTGCCCCCTCCCCGCTTCTAGCCTCTCACCCCCCCGCGGGGTGAAATTAATCCAGGAACCCCAACTTAGGAAAAACACAGCCAGCCGGAAGTCTGACCTCTCTCCGGCTTGCGTGACCGAACCTGTCACTTTCTCCTGCCCCTAACTCCCTAGAGAGTCTCATGGACTCAGTACTTACAGTCTTGGAAGCATATTGGGGAGCCCCCACCCATACACACAAAAACCAAGCAGGCAAAACTAGTGCTCGAGCAGGGGCAGGTCCGCTGAGTAGACTCCTCCGACAGGCAGGCTCTCGGGGCATTGCATTTGGACTCTGAGGGTAGGTGTGGACGAGGCCTTTTAGGTAGCAGAAGTTATCTGAAACCCTGAGGCGCCGTTGGGAATCGTTCTTAGTCCCATTCCTGCCTCTGCCTGCCCCGCCCCAGAAACACCCCGTCCCCACCCCGTCCTGTGCGTTTTCTGCCTTTGCTCGTCCATGGGGATTTTCGGGGTTCTTCTGGTGGGCCCCTGAGGATGGTTCTGACTACTGGGCAGCTGCTGGGAGGTGATGTCAGAAGCCTCCGGGGTCTGCGGAAACCTTGGTGATAAGTGCCTCTCTTTCTCTTCCTGCTCTCCTGCGCGGCCTCCCTCCCTGCCAGCACTGGAAAGTCCTGTTTGAAAAGGTACGTGAGCAGCTAAATACCTCCCTTCCTCCCAGCCTGAACCCGGTCTATGTCTCCCTGCCTGACTGCGTGGGCTTCCCTAGCTCGGTGCTCCTGAGGTGGTGACGTGCTGTGGAGGCGTGGCTTAATAGATCGAGGGCGGAGCCACACCGGGATTGGGTATCGGAAGACAGCCTTCGGCTCCCTAGAGAGAATTCTTTCCTCCTTCCAAATTCTCCTTGCACCACGGCTGGGCTTACACCACCCAGGAATTGGACAAGTATTAAAGTTTCCTGTATGCAAGTGGGTTGCAGTAGGAGGCTGGGGAGGCGGGGGAAGGGGCATAAAAGAACCATCCGGCCCCCTTTCTGCTCCTGTTATGAAAATGCTTGGGCCCGGTAGCATATAATCCCTGTCATCCTTAGGGGAGGGGGGTTTACTCACAGGATTGGCTCTTTCGATCTTGTATCTCATTCTGCAGAGGGGATGGGTCAGTGCTGGGCAGTTACCAGTGAAAAGCAGTACGTGACCTTAGAAGTCCCAAGTGTGGGATTTGAAGCTGGAGATGGACATTTGACCTTCAGCAGGAAAGTGGTTCTTTTTTGCTAGGTACTTGGGTATTTCCTCTCCGTGCTTGTACCACAGTTGAGGGGAAGAGCTGCCGGTGTTGGTAGACTCTGGATACTTAAGCCAACAGCCAGACTAGCTTTGTGCAACTGTAGATCTGCTGTTTAAGGCAAGTGTGTCGGCTCACACCCGAGGTGCCTGCATTTGGGGGGTAGAGGCAGGACAAGTTCAAGGCCATTCTTGGCTACAGAGCTGCTTTGAGGCTAGCTTTGGTTAGTTGGGGGGGGGCAGTTGATAAGGTCTTCTTTTTTTAAAAAATAGTTTTTATTTTATCTTCATTGGTATTTTGCTGCAATGTATGTCTGTGTGATGGTGTCAGATATGGAGTTACAGACAGTTATGTGGGCACTGGGAATTGAACCTGGGTCCTCAGGAAGAGCAGCAGTCAGGGCTCTTAATGCTGAGCCATCTCTCCAGCCCTGAAAAGCCTTTGTTTTTCAGTGTGTATGGGTGTTTTGATTGTATGGGCACCATCTTTGTGTAGTGCCTTCGGAGGCCAGAAGAGAGTGTCAGGTCCTCTGGGACTGGAATTACTGATGGCTGTGAGATGCTTTGGGGGTGATGGAAACTGGACCTGGGCCCTCTAGAAAACTGTAATGGTGGGAGAGGTGACATGGGCTCTGGGCGAGGGACGTACTCAGAAGCTGCTGAAGACAGGTGGCTCGTGCTAGCCGGTTTTTCACTGTCAGCATATAAAGAGAACAGATTTATTTTGGCTTGTGGTTTTGGGTATTATTTTTTGAGGGGGGGTTTCGGGACAGGAAACAGGGTTTCCCTGGGTAGCCCTGGCTGTCTGGGAACTCTCTCTGTAGACTAGGCTGTTCAAACTCAGATCCACCTGCCTCTGCTTCCCGAGTGCTGGAATTAAAGGCATATACCACTGCCCCAATGATTTTATATATTCTAACCTATAATTTGGTGACACCCCCTCCCCCCAGCAAGGAAGTAAACCAAAGCAGAAGTATGTAGTGGGGTGAAAGCCACAAGCCTCATGACCATAGGAGAAAGAGAGGGAAGAGACCAGAACCCCTGGCCCCCTTCCAGACACCCCCAGTCACCTAAAGGCTTTTTACTAGACCCAAACTCAAGCTTCCCCACTTCCCAGTAGCTCCAAGCTAGGGATCAAAGCTTTAACACACGTCGCTTTGAAGGTGACGAAGAAGTAGGAAAGAAGAGATGATGGGAAAATAGGAAGATACTAACAAACCTGAGTAGTTGAAAGGAACCACATCTCCAGCTAAGATTCTGAACTTAAGGGGAGAGGAAAAGTTGGTGTGTGCGCTGGCAAAACAAAAACAAAAACAGCTTTAGTTACAAGTTTAATGTGGGAATGGGGACCCGGCCAAATGTGATTTCGCCATGAACATGGACTTGGGCTTACGGGGTGGGGGGAAGAGCCTGGGTGAAGATCTTAGGGGACGTTCTCCTTGACTCCTGGCTCCCATCCTGAGGGCCACCCACTCTCCCTCTGGTCCCCAGGAATATCCCACTGCCGGCCTGACACCTCGAGGCAGGAGGGAACCGTGGCTCTGCCACTGTTACTCTTACCACCAGGCTGCCAGCCCTTCACACCTCCTGCCGGATTTAGAATGAGAACCTAGAACACAGTGTATCATGCTTTTTTTCCCTCTGTGTCTTTCACATTTGACTAATTTCCTTTGCCAGTTTCTGTGTGTGTAATTACATTTTAAAACAAACCGTCTGGATGAATGGGAGAGAACTTCCAGTGGGAAGTACAAACAGCTGGAGGGCAGCCCGAGCGGAGGGTGTGCGGCACCCGGTGTCAGCCGTCGGTCCAACCGGAGGCAGGTCCTGGTGGGCATCCCATGAAGCACCTCCTGCTTCTGGAGAGGCCCACGCAGAAATCACCCCAGGCTGGGGGTGCAGCTCGGTGGGAGAGTGCTTGCCTAACTTGCACGCGGCCCTAGGCTAAATTCTCAGCATTGCAGAGATAAAAATAAATAAAAGGAGAGCCAATCAATCATTCTGACAGACGAAATGAATTCCAGGAAAGCAGCCACCAGGTCTTACTCTGGGCCATTTTTCTCTTACAGTAAGCTCTGTCTTGAGTTCTTCCTTTTCTTCTTAAGATTTATTTTATTTTATTCATATGCTGTTTTGCCTGCATGTATGTCTGTGTGCCACGCGTGTGCAGTGCCCATAGAGTCCAGAAGGGGCCCTCGGATCCCCTGGAACTGGAGCATAAGGCAGTTGTGAGCTGCCATGTGGGTGCTGGGAATTGGACCATTCTTACTCAAACTACCACAAACTGTTTCACAAGTTCCCCCTCTCACCGGCATCAGCCTTTAGCCTTTTCCTTCTCCCAGAATGAGACTCCTGGGGAAATTCCAGCTTATTGGGAACTGACCTAGTTAGGGTTACCACTGCTGTCATGAAACACCATGACCAAACACAACTTGGGTAGGAAAGGGTTTATTTGGCTTACCCTTCCACATCACTGTTCATCTTTGAAGGAAGCCGGTACTGGAGCTCAAGTAGGGTAGAAATCTGAAGGTAGGAGTTGATGCAGAGGTCATGGAGGGGTCAGCTTATTGGCTTACCTCCTCTAACTTGATTTCTTTCTTTCTTTTCTTTTTTTTTTTTTTTCAAGACAGGGTGTGTTTCTCTGTGTAGTCCTGGACTTGCATTATAGACCAAGCTGGCCTCAAACTCATAGAGATCCACCTGCCTCCACCTCTCTGCACCTGGCTCAGCCTACTGTTTTATGGAACCCAGGACCACCTGCCCATAGGTGGCTCCACCCACAATGGGCTGGGCCCTTCCCCATCAATCGCTAGTTAAGAAAATGCCCTGTAGGCTTGCACACAGCCCAATAGTATAGAGGCATTTTCTCAATTGAAGCTCTCTCCTCTCTGATGACCTTAGCTTCTGTCGGGTTGACACAAAACTGGCCAGCACAAGAACCGTTGTTTCGGTAGATATCCAGTTCAGTAGAACAGCTTCATTCCTGTCAGGATAGTTAGAGGTCAGAGGCTTTGGAGCCGCTGGGGCAGGGGACACCAGTTGTCCCCCGTTTCCAGGTTGTTGAAGGCGGAATTGGCTCCACTCTTCATGCCATGTGGTTCTTTAATGTGCAGGGAAGCCTTGCCCAGCATAAAGATGACTGGACCCCACGGGTGAGAAGCCACCACGTTAGCCTTGCAGTCTGGTGGCTGGCTACCCTTCAAGGAAATGGCCAAGATGTCTTCTGGGGTTGGTGGTCAGGAGATCAGGCAACCCTGGCCTTTGGAAGCTTCTCTGCCCCCACTGTTCTGACCTTTGTCTGATGTGCTCACAGTGTTACCAAAGGATTAGTCCTGCCACTCCTTCCTCACACAAGCCACCACGGGGAAAGAACACGAAGGGCCACCCCCTTCATAAAGTTAGTGTAGGGCTGGAGGCTAAGAGTTGCGTAGCATGTGTGAGGCCTTGGGTTTAGTTTCTAGTGTTGCAGATACTATAGTAGTTGCAGTAATGACTGTAAGAGCTATGTGTTGTTATAGTGCAGTATCATGGCAAAAATTTCTTATTGGTTTACTGAGAAATCATTTGAACACTGCTTTCATGATCCCTTCTGTGGTTTCAGATCGGAGGCAGTTTCTGTCTCTCTCCCCAGCCAGTCTCTTAGTCCACTCTTCTATTTTCTCCCGGTGTTACAGAGAGATGCTCGTGGGTATTGAGACTTGAACTTGGGTCCCCTAGAAAAGCAGCAGGTGCTTTTGACTGCTGAGTCATCTCTCCAGCCCCCAAAGCCACTTCATTTTTAAAAGTTGAATTTAAAACCTTAGATTTATATATTTCTTTGTGGGAGTGGGGCGTCACATACTTGTGGAGGTCAGAGACATCTTGTAGAAACTGGCTTTCCATTTTTTGGTTCTGGGGATTGAGCTCAGGTTATCAGGCTTGGCAGCAAGTGCCTGTATCAACGGCGTGAACTACTTCCTAGGTTCTTCCCAAAACCAAGTCCAAAGGAATTTTCTGCTTTCTTCCTCCAGTGGCTTGCAAGCCTGTGGGTCTTCTCTTGGCCTGACCCAGACCCTGACATCATTTGTAGTTTCCGTGCAAGCTGACTGAAGGTGTTGGGGGTGGTCATGGGGCATTGGTAGCTGAAAGGAAGCCGAGATGAAACTTCTGAATGGATTATGGATGAGCCACAGAGAACAATGCCTTTCCCCAGAGACAGCCACATTGGTCATGGCCCCAGAACACAGGATTAGCCAGCCGAGCAGGGCTCCCAGAGAACAACAAAGCCATGGTTTAACCGGAGCCCATTCCTGAGCTCTGCATCTTAGCTCCCTATCAAGTCACCTCCAGGACCACATCCCTGCCCTGCTCCTACTGCGGTGACCTGGTAGTTCATGAGTTTATTAACGCTTTGATCCCTGGGCATTCAC